GTTATTTATTTTATTGAACCGTGTTATCGAATCGAGCCCGAAATATCGTAAGTATTGAACCAAGGTTTAATCCCGGTCCGCATGAACACCATAACCGATCTCTCTTTATGGTTATTTGAATTACTACTCAATTAAGGAATAATTAGTGCCTCATTAATCTTATTATTATATCCTTAATTTTCTTAACTGTTGAAAACGTAAAATCCTACCCTCAGGCTCTTATTTCTTTCTTTCTCGCTCGCTGAAGTTTCCCCTCTCTTCCATCTTCATCTCGATTGAAATCTGCTCTCTATCGCCGCCATCATCAACCCTCCTCCATCAGGCGCTACCTTCGAACCATTACCATCATCATCCGTCATCGCCATCATCGTTCACCAGCAGACCATCGCCATCATCGCTTGCAGCAGTCTTCGCGAAGAACACCAGCAGCCACAATCTTCTCCCGTCAACGTTCAATCTCAGCTTTCGGGACCCGTCGAGTTCCGTCGAAGAGCCTATCGTGATCGTTGAGTTCCGTCGGATTCCGTCGGAGCGTTAAACGAAGCCGACTAGTTCCGGACGCTGAGCCGCCATTGTCGCCACCTTCTTCCAAAACGCAGCAAGCCGTACATCCCGTCGACCCATTCCGGCGACCAGCAGCCTTCAGTCGAGCCCTTTGGTCGTTGCCCTCTCGTCCCAACGAGACACGTTGAGACGTCGAGTTCGTTTGTTAGTCCGTTGTTCGTTCTTCGTATCCCCGTCCCGAGAATGTTACCCGAGTTAACCCCTCGACTTAATTATGTAGTTCGTGTTTATGTGTTAGTACTCGTATGTGTGTTACGTTGCTGATCGAATGATATTCGAATTAATTACATGCGTTCGGAATGCTTTCGTGTGTAATTAGGATGTATTGTTAATATTGGGTATCAAAGTGATTGCCGTCACTTTGAAAATTATCGAACTGAGTTTCGAGTAGTATTTTATGTGGAAGTGCTGTGGATTATTGGACTTAGGATCGTCCTTGACGCAACGCCTTTGGCCTCGCGTCGTTTCGATGTGTATTGAATTAGTTATTAATTTTTGAAAAACGTGCTGCAGCCGGTTTTTGTTAAAATCACTTTAAATCGTGTGTTTATCCAAAAATTCAGATTTTTGGATATGTTGTAATGTTGCAATTGTATTACTTGTGGTTAAAATTTGAGAATTTTATATGGCCTGTAGCCTTGTCAAAACTTGAAAACTAATTCTGGGCTGTTTCGTAATAAATTCATATAAAATCGAGTTCCTGTCCGGTTTTGCTAATTTTTGAATATATTGTTGTTCTCCAGTTTATCATGCTGCTGTAAAAATTTGAGATTTAATTTCGAGCTGTAGCTATTTTAAATGATTTAATTTGATTTCTGG